GTCTCCTCTGGCTCTCCATCCTGCTTCCTTCCTCTTTTTTAGATTCCTTCCCTCCTCTTTTTCTCCTTTTCTCTTCTCAGCTCCAACCTCCTTCTGGGAGGGGCAGAGAAAAACTTCCCCTTTTCTTAGGGACCACCCTGTTACACAATCACAAGGGGCCTAGACTTCTAAACTTGCTCAGGAATCTGAGTGGCAGTTCCTTCTCTGGGTCTTTGTGTGAAGACACAAGCTAGTGAAACACTGAGATCATTTCTACCAATTACAGAGCAAGGGGCATCTCGAACATTCTAATTATTCTTTTACAATCTAGTTTTATTAGGCTTTTATTTCTTTTAAAGATTTATTCTATTTATGTGTACAAGAGCTAGGGTGTAAGCTAAAGGTGTTGGGTAGGGTAAGAGGATTCACCAGAGAAAGAGTAGGGAGCAGACCAGGTGGATTAACTGAAATATACTGCTGAGGGGAGCAGTGGATGAGACAGAAGAGGTCTGCTGTGCCATGGGGGTGTCAGCTCCCTGGCTGGGGATCGAACTGTTTTGTAGTGGCTGCTGAGAGCTTCATAATGCTGAGACTTAATCCCTTGTACCACCAGGGAGGCCTCCGGGCTTTCATTCTTTTTTTTTTTTTTTTTAAAGATTTATTTTTTTATGCACACAGAACTGAGGTACAGGCCAGAGGAACAGGGGTGGTGAGAGGATTCACCAGAGACAGAGCAGGGAGCAGAACAGGCAGACTGAGGAAGTACACTGCTGAGGGGAGCAGTGGGCAGGGCAGGACCGGTCTGCTGTGCCATGTGGATCACCTCCGGGGCGAGGATCATGGCTTTAGCTTCTTAGTGCTGCGCCACCAGTGAGGGCCTGGCTTTCATTCTTTTTTTTTTTTTTTTTAGATTTATTATTTATTTGTGCATACAGAACTGGGGCACAGGCCAGAGGCTCAGGGGTGGTGAGAGGATTCACCAGAGACAAAGTGGGGTGCAGAACAGGCAGATCGACGAAGTACACTGCTGAGGGGAGCAGCGCGCGGGTCAGGAGAGGTCTGCCACGCCATGTGGTCACCTCCGGGGCAGGCGGGGATCGAACTCATGGGGAAGCGGCTTTAGCTTCTCAGTGCTGTGCTTTAACCCGCTGCGCCACCAGGGAGGGCCTGGCTTTCATTCTTAATGAAACAACCTAACATGTGCTACTGTGTGGAATGAATTTTTTCAAATTTGTAATTTCTTTTATCTTATGTGTTATTGGATGTTATTAAAAGTTCTGGCTGTGAGTAACAGGTTTCTGATAATGACACTTTAACTTAAAATGCTGCTTTTTCTGGCCCTCCCTGGTGGTGCAGCGGCTTAAAGCACTGCACTGAGAAGCTAAAGCCACTTCTGCATGAATTCGATTCCCGCCTGCCCCGGAGGTGACCACATGGCGTGGCAGACCTCTCCTGACCCGCCCGCTGCTCCCCTCAGCAGTGTACTTCGTCGATCTGCCTGTTCTGCTCCCCACTCTGTCTCTGGTGAAGCCTCTCACCACCCTGAGCCTCTGGCCTGTACCCCAGTTCTGTATGCATAAATGCATACCCCAGTTCTTGTATGCATAAATAAATCTTAAAAAAAAATGCTGCTTTTTCTACCACAGAGAACTGAGTTCTTTATAAGTCTTTGGATCTTATGCTGTTTTCCTTTTTAACTCAAACTTGTCACTTTTCCTTCTCCATATAAGCTTTTGGACTATGTAATTATCTAAGGAGGTCGAAGACTTGTGTAGCGACCTTCTTCAAGTATTTAAGAAGCTCAGAAGTGAATCCACCATTGCACCAAGAATTCACAACCACAAAAGTATGGACTAACTTGCTCTCATACTATGAAGCATTAAATAAAGGTCCACAATAATCATTTAGTTTCTGCTTATCTTGTTGACTTATGCTAGGAACTAATACTCACCATGTAGGATACATGAATTGGTCAGGTTTTTGTGCCACGAGCCTCTGCGGCCTTGGTCGCCTTGAACCAGGAAGCACTTGGAAGTGTAGGAGTGGGTCACGTGTGCCTGATGGTGGCCACCTGGAGCACAGGTGGGCATTCATGCATAATTGTGCACAGCTGAGCCTAGTGATCAGCGCTATAAAGGCGGTTTCTCTCAGGCTACAGGAAATCCACAATGAGAGGGTGTGGCTACAGAAGAGGACATGACAGTGCCAGAGAGAGTGCAGGGAAAGAACATAAAGATTTGTGGGGGGCTGGGAGCTGGGGTTCCTGTGACCTCCCGGCCCCAGGCCTCCTGCCCTGCCCGCCTGTGGGCTCACCGCTGCACACCATCATTAGTGTTTCCCAGGAGTTTGACATCTGGCTGAATTTGGAATGAAATGCTTCCATGGTAGGCTGAATTGGGGTGTTCATGCTACCCATGGCGGGAGCTCTTGATCCTCATTCTGGCTCTGGTGTATACTGCATGGTCTTTTAAATACCACCCAAAGGTATAAGTCACAGGTCCTCTCTGGCATACATGTGTTAGGCCTGTAACTGAATCAGACACTTAGTGAACTTTTTGTCATCACTGTTGTTTATTCACTAGTAATTTGATAGAACTCTAGGGGGTTTAAACCTGGGAGGCTTGGAATCCTGCCTTTGGCTTTATTATTCAGTACTGTGGCTGCTTGAACTCTGCTAGCAGGATGCCTGACATCACCTGTTATGACCAGCTTGCCACCCTGGTTATGTCTTATAACCTAGCGAGACCTTTTAAGAAAATACAAACACTCAGGTGATCCCAGAGAATCTGACTACATTGGTCTTTAATAGGAACCCCCCACTGGTTTTTGTTTCTTTAAGACTGCTCAAGTCATTTGGAAGGTTGAGGATCAGTGCCAGGAGAAAGGACTTAAGGCATACTCATCGTATTTTATCTTGTTTTTAAAAAAGATTTATTTATGCATTCAAGAACTGAGTTTCAGACCAGAGGTACGGGAGGCAAGAGGATTCACCAGAGACAGTGGGGAGCAGACCAGGCAGGTCTACAAAGTACACTGCTGAGGGGAGCAGTGAACAAGACAGGAGAGGTCTGCGGTGCCATGTGGGTCAGCTCCCTGGCTGGGAATTGAACCTGTGGTTCAGTGGCTGCCGATAGCTTCATTATTCTGCCCTTTAACCCATTGTCCAACCAGGGAATGCCCCTGGTTATATTTTAAAATGTGTCCACCAACTTGGTTAAAATCTGTCCCTACAACTACGATGTGCTCTCCACACTCCAATTTTTCATTTATTCTACTCTTACAACTTAAAACAACAGAATAACTTTGAGCAAAGGACTTTGATTTTAAATCTTGTTTCTATTATTAACAGTTTGATCCTGGAAAAGATGCTTAAATTTACTGTATTTTCGTTTCCCCACTTGTAAAAATGGAGTAATAAGTCTTCTTTATTTAATAAAGATTAAATTATTAAGGTGATAGAAAAAGGTGATAGTATAGGACCCTGTGTGTAATCGGAGCTCAGTATATGTTAGCTTTCTTTACTCCTCCTATCTTTAATTTCTCACATGTAAAATTAAGGGCTTGAATAACATTTAAATTCCCTGTGTTCACTAAAATGAGTGAATCTATTCTCTGCCTTAACTGGTGTGCATAGAGAAGCACCAACATAATGTTTCCCATAAATTCATTTTATGTACAAAAATAAACTATTGGCACAGTTTATAGGGAATGAATTTGGAGAGTCTTCTATCAATAGTATTATGTCCACATATCCTCACTTGACTGTTCTTTCCACCTGTTGTGTCTATGAAATGGCTGGTGAAGACGCCGGATGTGTTTTAAGCTGTGAGAATAGGATTTTCGATAGAGTAATATGATCTGTTTTATGTGGCCATCAAGCTTGTGCCCTTGACCACCATCCAGTTGCTTCCACCACAGGGCCACCCAGCCCACGCTATACTTTTAATTATGGTGGTAACACCTGGCATTTATATTCTAGCACCTATTTGAAGTGATACACTTCAGGGGATCCCAGGTGAAATCAGGAAAACATCTTTTAATTACTACTTAGCTAATTAGTTTTTGTCAAGAAAATAAAATATTGCTGTCTCCTGATCTACTTCCAGGGAGCCAAAGGGGAATTCATTCTAGTAGAGCCTGGTATCAGGCCACAGTTCATGCTACATGGCAAGGGTTTGGGAAGGCATCTGCCTTGCTTTACTGATGCACAGCTGGCCATCCAGCTCCAGAGAAAAACAGACAAATGAGAGGGGTCCCGAGTTTCTATTATTATCAAATTGCTTGTTAATGGCAGATAAATTGTCAGCAGGGGAAGCTTCTTTGATAATGAAAATATGATCCTTTGCTGTTTCTCAGAGCAAAATACAGCACGTGTGAGGTGTAACTTAGGGCTAAGAGCTAGAGTGTAGAAATCACAACAAGCTGGACCCAGGTTGTGGTTTTACCACCATCTGTAGCAAGAGTCAGTAAACTTTTTCTGAATGGGTTAGCAAGCAAATATTTTGGATTTTGTGAGCCATGTGGTCTCAGTCACAACTACTCAACTCTGCTGATGTGGTCAAAAGCAGCCATAGCTAATACATAATGAACAGGCATGATTGTGTTCGATAAAACCGTAAGTACAAAGGCAGGCAGTGGGAAAGATTTGGGACACTGCCTCAGTTTACTCACCCCTGCTCTGTAGGATTTTGCACTAATAAACAACTTTAATTCACTAAGTTTCTCTTTAGGACTGAAGGCGATAAAATATATATAGTTAAATACTTCTCATGTGGTTGGCATATAGTAAGCACTTAAAAATAATAGTCACTATTATTTTATTAAAAATATCGCATGCCATTGATTGGAAGGTACATGTAAATTTCCGACATGTTAAAATGTAATTAAAAGTCTTAGAAGTGATAAAATTTGGTAACAGTAATTATAGTAACTATGTTGTATGTAAGATTTGAAGTCTTGTTCTACCAGTGGTGGTTTGAAGCTTCTGGTCTAACATTTCCTTGTGTTGCTTTTCTTGTCAGGGACACATGTCATGAACTTCTGGGACACGTTCCTCTACTTGCAGATCCTAAGTTTGCTCAATTTTCACAAGAAATAGGCCTGGCGTCTCTGGGAGCATCGGATGAAGATGTTCAGAAACTGGCCACAGTGAGTTTGTTTTCAACTTAAAAATCTTTCTACTGTGTCCATTTATTTGTAAGGGAAAACAGCTTTAGAGACTACGAATTACAAGTAGTGATTTTACTTTTTCCCATGTTGTGCTCAAAGCACATTATGTTCTTGTTTTGTGTTCTTTCCTCCCCACTTGTATTTTGTCCTTTTTATTCAAGGGTGGACTACATAGAAAATATTTTAGGCTTGCAGGTCAGAGGTATCTGTTACCACTACTCAGCTCAGCTGCTGTGATGCAAAAGCATCCCTGAACCAAATATAAAGGAATGATTGTGACTGTTTTTCAATAAAACTTTATTTACAAAACTTGGTGGCAGGCCAGATCTGGCCCTTATGCTGTATTTTGCTGAATCTCATTTTAGTTCAGTGTTAATTTCCTAGAAATTTTAATGCTTGTAAAAAGTAGGCTTTTATGGTAAATTAGAGGTTGTATTTCTGGTCGATATGATTGTGATCAGATACAATTTGAATCAGCAATACAATGTGCAGGCTAAACAATTATTATAAGCAAAAGACCAGGAAAAAAAAAAACCTACTGGATTTGGTGATCTCAGTAAGGTTCTTCTCAAAACAAGCCATGTGAGAGGAAATAGATAATGTTGGGTAGCTATAGTTCAAGATACTGAAGAGGTAGGTCTAGCAAGCTTGTGTGCCTGTCAGTAAACCCAACTCAAAGAGGTTAAAAAAGAACAAGTTCAGCAAATTCACTTATCTGCAGGGACCAGTCCATCATACTAAATGAGCAAAGCTATTGGAGGAAGAAAATAATGGGTTATTTCCTTGTATATATTTGACACAGAGGCACATTGATAGCATATTACACATGCAGGAATATTCTTCATGTCTACCAAGAAACAAGTTTTCTCTTGGATTCCTTAAAGCACATGGCCCTTTCAGAAGGTCTTTTGTTTCCCACTTTTGATACTTCTATGGGAACTGAGAAATATTTCTCTACTAAGAGAGTAACAGCAGTGCAAATGCTATGCTGTGGTCACTGTGGTGATGAGTAGGGGCCATTGGGGACTGTGGTAATTGGGAAGAACTTGCCCTTTCAGCAGCAGAAGTTCGGTCCTCAGGTCCCACTCATGGTTGCCTGATGGGATTCAGGGTTTGGAGTTGCCATAGCTCCACATTATTGAGAGAGATGGGCAATGTGGATTTCTAAACTAAGTTAATGACTGTTGCAATTTTGGCTCATATGGAAAACTACCATTATGAGTGAGAAAATACATTTGTACATTGCATCTGGATCTTGAATTCTAATTTATAACCTCTGCCCTAGGGATTTATACCTTCTACATAATTTGTATCTATTGCTGCATAACAAAATCCCCCAAACTGAGGAAATAGAGAGAGAAAAGGAGGAGGAAGGCTTGTGCTTGTGCTGTCTTTCAGTTTGATCCCATACTCACTTCAGCTCACACTCAAGAGCATAGAAATTAGGCTTCATTTTGGGAAAAAGGAGAATCAGAAAACATGAAACCATCACACTATGAGTCTTGTTATTTAATTCTCACACTAGGTTTTAAGCTCCATATTTTGGTAACTTTTTTCTGGGCCTTTCAAACTTCTCTTAAAATTTTCTGGTTTAGTTTTTGACCCCTTACAACTTGCACTTTTGATCGGGTGTGAATACATTGCTTTCTTCTCTCTGAACAGTCACAAACTGGCATTCACCTCTGCCAGATTCTCTCTCTCTCTCTCTGTGTGTCCAAAGAAAGAAAGAATAAGGTGGACTTCGTGGATGTGAATGTAGGGGGATTTTAGCAAGTAATCTTATTGGTTTTTTTAAAAGCAGTGATGATAAAGCAGTTTATTGTCTTTTATACTCCATCAAATCATGCTCAATTAATTCCATCATCCAAAAATATTTGTAAAGAACATGACATGGTCCTTACTTCTCATAAATATGTAGCCTTGATAAATAAACTTACATTTTTCAGAGGAAAGTTGTGCTAATTCTGGAAAGATGAGAAAAAGCCAGTCAAGTGGTAAAGAGGGAATAGAGGACAATTTCAACCGTACTAAAAAATCTTTCTGGAATTGAGGAGGTTGCTGCTCACCAATTTTGAGGGACATGTGGAAGCCAAAGGCCACCTCTAGTATTGTTTTTCTGTTGCTGCCATACAAATCACATGTGGCTTAAAAACTGCACACTAATTATATTATGGTTTCAGAAGATTAGAAGTCCAGTAGTTGTCAGTGGGCTAACATCTTGGGATTAGTGGGACTGTGATCCCCTCTGGAGGCTCTAAAGGAAACCTGTACCCTTACTTCTTGCAGCTTCTGAGCTTGCATATAGGCACTGGCTTGTGGCTCCTGGCACATTCATCTTTTGCCTTTCTCTGGTCTTTCTTCCATTGTCCCATCTCTGACTATGTAACTGGGGGCGGTGTCTTGCTTTTTTTTTTTTTTAAAGACTTATTTATGCCTACAGAACTGGGGTACAGGCCAGAGGGGCAGGGGCAGTGAGAGGATTCACCACAGACGGAGTGGGGAGCAGAACAGGCCAACTGACCAAGTACACTGCTGAGGGGAGCAGCGGGAGGGTCAGGAGAGGTCTGCCGCACCATGTGGGTCACCTCCAGGGTGGGGATTGAACTCATGAGGAAGTGGCTTTAGCTTCTTAGTGCTGCGCTTTCACCCGCTGCGCCACCAGGGAGGGCACACAAGGTGTCTTGCTTTTACGAACTCCTGGCATTAGATTGAAAACCTCTGAAAATTTCACCCTTTCTCAAGGTGCAGACCCTACATCTCTTTGCAACGGTAACAGAGACACAAATTGTGGGGATCAGGTATTATAGGCATCTTTATGTGGGGTAGTGTCAATTCTCTTTGTTTCTATTTTTATACTTGCAAGCAAAAATCTAATATTGGAACTTTGAAACCAATTTTACTAGTGCCAGTGCATTTGTAGGATGAGTTAGTTTTCTTTAGGAACTTGCAATCCTTAGCATGACTCTAATACCCTTGGCCATGGGTTGCCTTAGCTCCAACCACTAATAAAAACATTTCCTGCTGTTAGAGATCACGAGGACATTAATCATGTTTCTCTCTGTCATCCTCCCTCTTTTTTTCCCCATTGTCCTTTCCTTGGAATCTACCTGCTTTTCTAAAAAAGCCAGTTCAAGTTAACAGATATTCTTTAAGTGGTGAACAGTCTGGTACTGTAAAGTGTAGGGGTAGACAAGACAGATGGTAGTACTTGCTGCATGAAACCTACGATCTAGTTCTCCAAAATACAGAAAAACCCAGCCTTAGTATCAGTTTTTATTCGTCACATGAGCAAACATGTAAGAGGAATAGATTTAAGGGGACTCTCCCAAGTGCATGTGAATTTGAGTTCAGTGCTGGAGAGCAGGATTTTTAATTGGGGTGGGAGCCAAGCAGACAGAGGGCTTCTCGATGTGGGAAATAAGTAGGACAGTTTAGGGAGGATCACGGGTCCCCAGGCAGCTGACCTGTCTGGAATCTTGTCATGGCCTTGCCACCCCCCCCCAAAAAGGTAATCGAAAGAGTGTCAACTTACAAGAGACTTCAGCCCAAAAGATTTCAACTGTTTTCTAAATGCAGCGGCATATTGCAGGGAGGTGGGATAGAGGGGTGTCACTTCGGTTTTGTCTGATCTTGTTTCTCTTTCTCCAGCATCACCTGAACCCCCACCCAACTGCCTTTGATTTTTCTGTCTCTCACAAGCCTTGTGGTTCCCATTCTTTCCTATTTTGTAGACCGCATATTTCCTTTGAAACGTGTTTTGCAGACCAAAGAGAAATTTGAAAAGCTTATTCTGTGTGATGTGGAGAGTATGGAGGAGGTAGACTCACGGTGTGAAAAGACTGGGGAGATTTTTCCTGAAATGATACTAAAACTGCTGCTGATTTCTAGAACCACATCTGATCACTCTGTTAAAAACAAAGCGAATGGAAAACTGCTGGAAAATGATCTTAAAAGAAGGCACAGTTAGCATCCAGCCAGGCAATTTCAAAGTAAACCCTGGAATAAACAACTTAATGGATGACATGCATATTAATGACCTTCACACTAAGGACTGAAGCTTGAAGGCCAATTTAACGACCCAGTGGCAAAGAGTGAGAGATTAAGAGCGAAGGCCTCACCAGCAGGGCTAGGAATCCCGCATTGGGGGGATAGTGGTGGGAAGCTTAGCCTCTTAGCTGTCCAGATGAGAAATGGGGGTATTACTAGCTGATTTCCTCAAAGTTGTTCCCATTAAGTCCTCTGAAGAAGTACTAGAGTAAAATGAGAGATGAGATGTACCAAAGGAGAAAAATCCATAGAGAGGACAAATGGAAAAGCACAGAAATCACTATTTATGCAGAACAATGAGACAGGCCATATTATTCTCTCACCCTAGGTGAGATTTATATTATTAATGACTCTGTTTATGTAGTGCTTGCTTTTCCCGTGTTTAGTGAATTTAAGCACTTATGAAAAAGAGAATCATGCTTAGTAAAAACAGACACTTAAAACATTCTGTGATGTGCTGTTCACAAATCCATCTAAGGAAGAAAATAGCCTTTACTAGGGCTAATTGGCACCACCAAACTCTGTTTTGTCAAAAGCCAATTTTGGACTTTTGGGTCAGATCTCAGAAGGACCAGGCTATTGTCTGTAGCTACTGCCTCTGTGTGCTATATTTTGGCACAATATTTATTTTGACATTTTAATAATACTCAGTTTTGAGATTGAAGGTATCTCTGCTGTTTTGAGCAGAGGAGCAATGGTTTCATTTAAATGAAACTCTTTTGCATTTGAGGAAATTGGTGTTGATGCTTGGTAAAAGTATTTTAAGTGCATTGTTGTGCATGTAAATAAATTTGCTCTCTGGTAGATAATGAATAAGGCCCCTGATTTTGTCAGCTGCACTCTTCCCATGCTCATCCTAGCTGTCCAGGGGCTATGCCTGACAGATATGCAAACCTCCCAGTAAGGGCCAGTTAGCATCCGTTATAATTTTG